CTCCACATGACATCTTCTGTAATTCATTGTGGTTGCTCACACTTACTCTGTTTTCTCTCCTAAATACCTTATTTTAACTGCTTTTACAGACACTACAATAATATTAGATAGAGCCACACCAAAATGAGGGAAGGTATTCTCTTTGCTGTATGAATATGTGTTCTTTCTGGAGGTGCTATGATGAAATGCATCTGCCCAGACCCTTCCCTTGGGAGGAAAGAGAGATGTATTGAGTAGCAAGAATACATGGGAGCAGACCTGGAATAATTCAATGGCCCACAGGCTTAAACCTCATCCCTTTTGCAGACAGTAATATTCATTAAGGAATACAAAAAACAAATCAAATAGGATATGTTGAAGAATTCATCAAGCAGGAATGATTAAACTTATGTGCTAGAAAGTAAACAGTAATATATCATCAATATTCAAGAAGGGAGATGAGACAAGGTTTAGGAAATTAGAGGCCTATAAGGTTTCTATCATATCCTGGAGTCAATGAAAGTGATCAACAGCCCCTTCAGTTTTCATTTTAAAGATTAAATAAGAAGCCAGATGACTCCATGGAAATTCCAGGAAGCATTTAATTTGGAGTTGTATGAGATGCAGCTCAGGGGCCCCAAAGGCCTGTATGCATGATACCTTAAGAGCTTTAGAAACCAAAGGTACCCTTCTCCTTCACTCTTCTCCTCTTTCCCTCTCCTCCTCCTTCTCCTCCTTTTCCTTCTTCTTTTTCTTCTTTTCCTTCTTCTTCTTTTTCCTCCTCCTCTTCTTCTTCTTCTTTTTCCTCCTGTTCTTCTTCTTCTTCTTCTTTTCTTCTTCTTCTTCCCAAGCAAGTCTTTGCCAAACTCAAAAGTGTTCCAGAGTTTTCTCAGTCCCCCTTCTTTCCACTTTCGCTGAGATGCCTTACTCTCCTTCTTATGTTCTCTCCGTCTAGAATCTTCAGTCTCTCTGTCTCGATTCCTTTCTTCTACACTTCAAGTATCGACATATTTCCTTATCTTAAAGAGAACCTTGGACTAATATGATGCTACATCTATTTCTTATCTTCTTAGAAACAAATCTTTGAATGAGTGACTCCATTTTTACCCAATATAGTTCATCCTCAATTTCTTACAATCTGGCTTCCATCTTTACCATTCTAACTAGCTAGTCAATAAGCATTTATTAAGTATCTCCTATGTGCCAGGCACTGTGCTAAGTGCTGGGAACACAAAAAAAGACCAAAACAAAACAAAACCAACCCTTAACCTTAAGGAGCTCACGGTCTGAAAAGTCTAAAGAAAGCTTTGAAAAGGATGGACTTGAGAGAAGAGAAACTCGAGACAGGAAAACCAATTAGGAGGCCAATGTAATGTTCCAAGTGAGAGGAGATAAGGGTCTGAACCAGGGTAGCAATGGTATGAGAATGAAGGGGAAGGAGGAAAGAGATGTTGTGGTAGCCAAAACAACGAATCACAATTCTCAAAAGAAAAAATAGTGACCTCTTTACTGACTAGTCCAAAGGCCTCTTCTCAGCTTTTAACTCATTTGACCTAAGAGTAATTCACCTCCAGCCCACATCTTTAAATTCTTTCCCCTCCTTGCCTTCTCTGACATTGCATTATGCCCCCTCACTCTTTGCCCATTCGTTATGGGTCTCCTGCATGGGATACTTCTTATCCAGAGTCTATCCTTGGCCTTCTGTTCTTCTTTTTATAGAATTACTTCATCAAAGAAATAATCAACTAGTAAGAAGGAGACTGTACTTGAGTCAGGAAGTTCTTGACTCAAATCATGCTTCTGGCACTAGCTAGATAATCCTGAGCAAGGTACTTGTCTCAGTTTCCTCACCTGTAAAATAAGGGAGTTCATCTCAATGGCCTTGAAGCTCCCATCCAATTCTAAATCTATAACTATGATCCTATTCTCTATCCAGACTACCTTTATCTTTCCAACCTAAAATAAAAATTGTTTCATTTATACTAATACTTCAATAGGCCTTTGATCTCATCTCAACCTACCCCTCCCCCCCAAAAGTCTATAGATTTTCCTTTAAGACTTATTTTTTAAAAAAAACCTTGTTTTTATTCTGAACATGAACACAAAAATAGAAGGACATTTCCATATACAGAAAACACAAAAACAAGACTGTACATGAAATGATAAATCTCCATTCCAAATTGTTTGCTTTAAAATAAAAAGTATGTGACAAATCCCACATATTACTTGCAAAACAATCTTACTTGTCTATGCTTTCTTCTGAATTATTTTCTATTATCTTCTATGTATTGGAAAAAATGTTTCAATGGCCTGCCTTTTTGGGGGAGGGGACAATATTTTTATTAATCCTTCCTCTCCTCTCAGGCCCCTCCAATTAAAAAAATAAGAAATAGAAAAAAATCTTTAACAAATAGGTATAGTTAAGCAAAATGAATCTGTGCAACAGTCATATCCAAAAGTGCATCTCTTTCTTCACTCTGAGTCTATCAGCTCTCTGTCAGGAATTGGGTAATAAATAAGCTTCATCATAGGTCTTCAGGAGGTCATTTGTCCTCTGGTTGGTCATTTCATTGATGAGAGTTCTTAATTCTTTCCAAGTTGTTTTTCTTTACAAAGCTGTTGCCCTTATCTAAACTGGTCTCCTACTTTTACACACTTCCTTCTGGATTAGTCCATGCTATCCAAGATTTTCTGAAATTGTCTTTTAAAAATTATTTTATATGCTGTAATAATATACTACAATTTGTTTTTTTTTTTTTTGCTAGGCAATGGGTTAAGTGACTTGCCCAGGGTCACACAGCTACTGAGTGTTTTGTGTCAGGCCGGATTTGAACTCAGGTCCTCCTGAATCCAGGGCCGGTGCTCTATCCACTATATCACAATTTATTAAGCCACTCTCTGTTTGATGGACTTCTATTTTGTTTCCAGTTCTCTGCTTTTTAATTTTTTTTCTTTTTCTTCTCCTCCCTCTCCCTCTCCTTTTCCCTCCTTCATCTTGTTCACACTTGTCCTCACCCTTCTACCTCTTCCTCTCTCCACCTATCCCTCTTTCTCTCCCTCCTCCCTTTCTCTCTCCTCCTCAGTATCTCCTTAACTATTGGTTCTTTTTCTGCTACAGATTGCCCAGATTATACTTTTTTTTAGGCAATTGGGGTTAAGTGACTTGCCCAGGGTCACACAGCTAATAAGTGTCAAGTGTTTGGTCTGAGGTCAGAATTGAACTCAGGTCTTCTTGACTTCAGGGCCGATGCTCTATCTACTGTGCCACCCAGCTGTCCCAACCAGATTATACTTAGAAGCATGCCTATCTTTATGACCTTAGGAAAGTTATTAAACCTATCTATCCGGGCCTCTATAAAATGAGGAAGGAAGATAACTATATCTCTGAGGTCCCATTTTCCTACCCCTACCCTTACATCACCATGCAAGAAAAGTGTGCACTAAAAAGAGTGATTGTATCTGCCTTACTTGGAATGATTCATCTCCACCTTTACACATAAAGAAGTAGGTTTTGGCCTCTTTGGAACTTCCTAATAAGGAGAACCATCCCAAGGCAGAAAGGGCCGCCCTACAAAGGTGGTGCCCCATATCACTGAAGACCATTATATGGAATGTGAATGACCATCAGGGATCATATAAAGAACCTTTTGTTCAGGTATGGGCCAGACTAGAAGGCTTCTGAGGATGTTTTCAGATTTGAGATTCTGGAATTCTACAAGAACAGAAAAGTAGCATTGATTGGTGAAATATCTAAGGGGAGAGGCCTCCTGACAGAAAGGTGATTGGACCCAGGGTGCAGATTGAGACATAAACTGTTTAGACATGGCAAACATGCGGACTTGTTTTGCTTGACTCTGCATGTTGTTCTCAATGGGGAGGTGAAGAGAGAGAAAACAGATTTAAAAAAAACACTTTTTAAATAAAATCTATGAGATGAGAGGGTGACAGATGGCTGATCATTCTGGCCAATGGATGTACCAATGACCTTAATGGTCTGAGTAATATTCGTGCTGTAATTCTGTTCACTGCGTTTAGAGAACTCTCATCTTCTCTGACTTGGACAGCTCTTATGTTACAGGCGGTGTGTAGGGGAATGATGTAGATCCTGTCTTGGACAATACTCACAAAATCTGGCTTCCTATTCCAGTTTTGCCGCTGATTCTCTATATGATCCAGAGCAAGTCACTTCTCCTTTCAGAGGTCCAGTTTCCCCAGTGGAGTAGTGTGGTGTTGCTTTAAAAATACTGGATTTAAGGGGCAGCTAGATGACACAGTGGATAGAGTGCCAGGCCTGGAGTCAGGAGGACCTGAGTTCAAATCCAGCCTCAGACACATAACACTTACTAGCTGTGTGACCTGGGCAAGTCACTTAACCCCATTGTCTAACCAAAAAAAAAAAAATGCTGGATTTGGAGTCTGGAAGACCTAGATTCTAATCCTGCCTATGATAACTACCACTATGTATGATTATGGACAAATCACTTAGTTTTTCTCAACCTCAGTTTTCTCATCTGTAAAATGGGGATATCTGAAACATTTGCTGCTTAGGGATGTTGTGAAAGTCAGATGTAACAGTACATTTAAAATGCTATAGAAATGTCAATTATTATCTCCTCATCTACAAAATAACCATAATGGTCATTATATTAACTCACAAGGTTTTTATGAGGATAAAATGAAATCAAACTTGTAATGAGCTTTATAATTATAGAGTCCTATATAAATATGTTATTATTTGTCTGTGTAATAACCCTTTGCCAGGTATGATCACAAAACCTTTTGGGACTTGTAGGTCTTCTCAGTTTGGAAAGAGAGGAAACATGAGATCAGCTCTCAAACTGGTTGAAGGGAGAAGGTTTTTACCCCATATGGTTTAGTAAAAGTATGATAGGAGTTTGGGGGGGGGTACTCTTGAAGACAATTAGGAGAGAAGGGAAGGGTAGCGGTCATCCCATGTAGTGGCACAACCTGGGTAGCAGCTGGTGCCTATCCCATCCATGACTGTGTGTGTTTCATTGTAGGCTCTTGCCCTAGTGTGAGGAACCAACTGAGAGGACCCAGGACCCGTATTCCATCACAACCTTACTTCTGTAAGACATAAATCACCATATTTAATATAAGTTTTTGTAAACACTTGTGGTTGACTGTGTCTTTATGCTGCTGGGGATCCCTTCATTTGCAGCATGAGGGTACATTGGGAGCCTCAAAGGAAAAAAGGAACTTTCCAAGCACAGGGCTGGGAGCTGCACACCCCCAGCCCTTTGTTAAAGTTCTGCTCTCTCAGTGGGGGCAGAATCAGTGCAGAATCTCTATGAATCTCTACCCAATTACATAAATCTACTTTTTAAATGCAAATCAGGTTACATCTATATGCTTGGATCATTTGAAAAACTGATCAGTTAAGTGATTATGATGTTTCCTCTGGCCTGATAGGAGCTGGGAATGGCCTAGGAGGGTCTGTGATTTCTCAAATTCTATGGTATTGGCTGAATCATCTATAGAATGGGGGAGGATGAGGGAGATGTTCCATTTAGGACCTTCTAGCACAGGTGATAGGGGCAGGGAGGGGGAAAAAGGGGACACATGTTGATAGTAACGGTCAGTGGCCAGGGGTACAGGTCAGTCAATCAGTCAACAAACATTTATTAAGCACTTACCATCTGAGAGGCACCTTAGTTAAGTATTGGGGATCCAAAGAAAGGCAAGAACTGTTCCTGCCCTCAAGAAGTTCATATTCTAACAGACACCGTGCAAACAACTATGTACGTAAAAGACAGATAAATGGCATATTGGAGTTAATCTCAGAGGGAAGGCACTAGCATTAAGGACCTAGAAAGGCTTCTTGCAGAAGGTGAGGTTTGAGGCGAGTCTTTTAGAAAATCAGGGATGTTGAGAAATAATGTATGATGTAGGAGGAACATCATGAAGGCCAGCGCTGCTGAATTTAGAGTATGGGAAAGGGAGAAGAATGTAAGAAAGCCTGGAATTTCAAGGGTCAGGTATTAAATTGCAAGGTCTAAAATGGAAGCCAAAGTTGGTAGTTGCTAACTGGCAAATTTGGAGCGAAATGGGCTTGAACAAAATCATATGCAAAGGTCAGGTCAAAACCACAATCACAAGGTGAGGTAGGAGAGTGGGGGGAGGCAGGTAGATAGAGGAAGGCAGAACCAAGGTTTGCTATTAGGTGGATTTAGGGTTTAGGAAGGGCAGTTAGGTGGCACAGTGGATAGAGTCAGGAGGACCTGAGTTTAAATCCGACCTGAGACACTTAGAAGCTGTGTGACTCTGGGCAAGTCACTTAACCCTGTTTACCTCAGCTTCTTCATCTGTAAAATGAGCTGGAGAAGGAAATGGCAAACCACTCCAGTATCTTTGCCAAGAAAACCCCAAATGGGGTCAAGAAGAATTAGACACAACTGAAAAATGGTTGAACAACAACAAATATTTCATAAGCAAACCACTCCAGTTTTCTTGTGAAGACAACCCTGAATGGGTTCACCAAGAGTCAGATAAGTCTGAAAAATGATTGAACAACAGGCCTAATTTCACCATGTTTCTAAATCACTGAACTGTAGAAGATCTCAGTTGCCATCTAATTTAACCCATACACCAAAAGAACCTCTGCTGTAACATCTTCAATAACTGGCCATCCACCCTTTGTTTGAAGATCTCTATTGATGGGGAGGGAATCTGTCACCTCTCAAGACAGTTCAGTTCACTTTTGCACTGCTTTACTTGTTAAGAGGCAGCTAGGTGGTGCAGTGGATAGAGCGCCAGGCCTAGAGTCAGGAAGGGTCATCTTCCTGAGTTCAAATCTGGCCTGAGATGCTAACTAGCTGTGTGACCCTGGACAAGTCACTTAATCCTGTGTATCTCAGTTTCCTCATCTGTAAAATGAGCTGGAGAAGAGAATGGCAAACCGCTCTGGTATCTTTGCCAAGAAAACCCCAAGTAGGGTCATGGAGAGTCAGACATAACTGAAATGATTGAACAACAAGTTATTAAGAAGTTTTTACTGAAATCAAACTAAATAGACTCCAGCCAGACGTGGTAGGGTAAGCCTATAATCCCTGCTACTGGGGAAGCTGAGACTGGTGAATCCTCTTAGTTTGGGAGCTCTGAGCTGCACTATGACTAAAATTGACTGGGTGTCTGCCCCAAATCTGGCACCAGCGTGTCTGCCTAAGGCACCAGGCTGTCTAAGAAGTGTCGAAGCTTCCAAACTGATGATCAATGATAGGGTCAGGCCCGTGAATGACCTCGGCACTGCCTGGGTAAGACAGGGAGACCAAGTCTCATGAGAAAAATAACAATAACCACCAAATAGACTTGACTAGAAGTTATTCTAATGCTTTTTGATTCAGTTCAACTAGTATTTATTAAACATTCACCCTATGCTGAGCATTGTGCAAGGCACTAGTATACAAAGACAGAATGAAACAGTCCCTGCTCGTAGGCGCTTCCTGTCTATTGGGAGAAAACAACATATATACAGATAAACAAATGCAAGCTACGTACAAAGTAATTTTATGATGGGAAGGGGGAAGTACTATCACCTGGGAAGATCAGAAAAAGCTAAACCTTTAAGGAAGTAAGCATGCACTTATTAAGTATCTACTATGTACCAGGTACTGTGTGCTAAGTCCTTTGCAAATATCATCCAATCTGATCCTCAGAACAACCCAGTGAAGTAAATGCTACTCTTATCCCTATTTTACAGTTGAGAAACTGAGGCAGACAGTAGTGAAGTGACTTTGCCCAGGGTCAGAGAGCTAATATCGGAGGCTTGTTATGAGCATAGGTCTTCTTGACTCCAGGCTTTCTGTGCCACTTAGGAAACTAAGGAACTAGGTATTTTAAGATGGAAGTAAACTGAGTCTGGAACAGGTTAAGGGACTTTCCCAGGGCAGCAGAGCTAATGAGTGTCTGAGATAGGATTGGAACTCAAGTTTTCCTGTGTTCTATCCCACTGTACCAATTAGCTGCTGCTTCTAGTTAGTGATTCTTTTTTTTTGGGGGGGGGGCTAGGCAATGGGGTTAAGTGACTTGCCCAGGGTCACACAGCTAGTAAATGTTATGTGTCTGAGGCCGAATTTGAACTCAGGTCCTCCTGACTCCAGGGCTGGTGCTCTATCCACTGCACCACCTAGCTGCTCCTTAGTTAGTGCTTCTGAAAAGAGGAAATGGTTACAATCACAACAGCTGACACATTAAAAATCCCTTTAAAATTTGTCAAATGTCATGTATGTCTCTGATTTGTTCCTCTGCATGACATTATCATGTACCAGTTCCCTCAGTGGATATACAGAGTAGTAGACCCTGATCCGCAGCGGCCAAAGAGAGGCTTTTCTGAAAGTTCTGAGAGAGCCAGCCTTGGTTTGACATTTGACAGTGATAAAATCCCATAGAGGATCGTTATTCAAGAACCACGAGAGTTTTTTTTCTTTTTGCTCTTATTAATAGCTGCGGTGGGGGCTTGTGACAATTGATATGTCAAATCGTGCTCCCTCTGGGATTTTGCTGTGGAGACTGAATGCACAAATGAGAACAGCCCCCAGATGGTGGCATGACAAATCCTTCTCACAAGAAATGAACCGGTTGATGCTGCTGGCTGACCCAAATGCCTCAGACTCCTCCCCTGCCATGACAGAGTATGTGAAAATAATCCAGAGTAAAGAACAAAATTCTTCTTGGAGTCAGAGGAGGAGAGAGTTAACATGGACAGGAGGAGTTAGGGGAACCTAGACAAGGAGAGCCTGTACAAAGTTAGAAAGCAAGGCCTTTCGCAAAAATGAATTGGGATTTCAAGCATGGTGTCTTATCTGGCATTATCCTGGTTTAGGGCAGCAAAGTCATGCAATGTGTAGAGCAGTGAGTTTGAAATCAGGAAGATCCCAGTTCAAATCCTGCCTTAGATACTTACTAGCTATGTGACCCTGGGCAAGTCACTTAACCTATTAGCCCCAATTTCCTCATCTGTAAAATGTGGATAACAATAATACCTCCCCCCCTCCAGGTTGTTGTGAGGATCAAATGAGATAATAAATGTAAAGCACTCGGTACAATGCCTGACACATAGTAAGCGCTATGTAAACGTCAGCTATTATTAGCGTAAAAAAGACTCATAACACTGTAATTTAGCTGGAGCAAGTTAGCACCTTCTCTTTTGCCTAGACTCTCCTGCTTACTTCCCATGCTCCTTGAGGGTGGGGCATTCTTTTTGTCTTTTTTTGTATCTCTAGGGCTTAGGACAGTGCCTGGCACATAGCAAGCACTTCATAAATGCTTGCAACTGGCTGTTCGACTCTGATTCCTGGCATCATTCAAGTTCAAGCTCTTAGCACTAAGATGAGTGAGTAGTTCAGGGTATAGAGCCCTGGGTCTGGAGTCAGGAAGACCTGAGTTCAGATGTGACCTCAGGTACTTTTTACCTCTTTGCCCCTGAGCAAATCACTTGAACTCTGTCTGCCTCAGTTTCTTCAAACTGTAAAATTGAAATAATAATAGCAACTACCTTACAGGGTTATTGCGAAGATCAAATGAGATATTGCGTGTAAAGCACTTAGCACAGTGCCTGGCACACGGTAAGCACTTACGTGCTTTTCCCCTCCCCTGCTCTTACCTTGACTATGATAATAGTCTTGTTCTCTCCTTTCTTGGCCTGTCTTCTAATGCACAGACGAGTATACTTCACGTGGCTTCAGTGACTCTCTTTATCCTATTTAATAAAGCTTTTACTTAGCCTAGGATTCAGGGTTTCCACAATATGGTCTCAACCTACCTTTCCATCCTTCGGTAACATTGCCTCCCTCCATATACTCAATAGTCCAGCCAAAATAGCCTACTTACCAACCTCCCCTCCCTCCACAGACGTCCCACACTTTCCCACCTCCATGCTTGGGTTCAAGCCATTCAATCAGATCTGGAATTCACTTTCTACCATCTCTGCCTGTTGATACCCCAGCTCAAAAGTCCCCTGTTCTGTGAGGGCTTCACTGACCCCACCCTCTCACACAGCACCCCAAAAAGATCTTCCCTTTTCTGAACTCCACACACCATGCACTTCTTGCAGGTAGGTATGTTCTATTTT